TGGGGCCTAGGAATAAGGTGGATAGTCTTAGTCCGTTTTATAAAAATGATCAAGATAAGGAAAGCAAAGATCTACATGAAAGGAAGTGTGAGACCCTGGCAGAAGGAGCTTACCAGAAGTTTGTGAAAGAACGTCTCAGAGCCACATCAGTGGCAGCAGACTCCATCACTCCTTGTGGAGTAAGAAGTCTTAAGACAGTTTGTAAAAAAATGTATAGGTTCTTAAAAATAAACAAAAAGACATGATGGTGAAAAACTTCAGCACAAAACGAGAATGAATTTCAGTGTTGTGTTTAGTGCCCTGACAAACCGAATTTTCTAGAGCAGAAAAATTAATATTTTCTTTGAATTTGTGCTGATCAGCTCTGCAAGGTGCTGGCAGACATCTTTAACACCTCACCTACCCTAGAGACAGTTCCCACCTGCCTGAAGACTGCCACCATCATCCCAGTCCCAAAAAGCTCAACACCGACTGGTCTGAATGACTATCGGCCAGTGGCCCTCACCCCGATAGTCACTAGATGCTTTGAAAAACTGGTCATGACTCGCATCAAAACAACCATCAACATCAACGAGGACCCTCATCAGTACGCATACCGTGAGAACCGATCAACAGAGGATGCCATCTCCTCTGTGCTCCACACTGCGCTCAACCACCTGGAGCAGAAAAACTCTTACGTCTGTATGCTCTTTGTGGACTTCACATCCGCCTTCAACACCATGATCCCCCAAACCCTGATGGACAAACTAGCCACACTAGGACTAAGCCCCTCCATCTGCAACTGGGTACTAGACTTTTTAACAAACAGACCACAGTTAGTGAGGATCCACAACCTCTCCTCCTCCACCATAACCCTCAGCACTGGCTCTCCTCAGGGATGTGTGTTGAGCCTCCTCCTGTTTACTCTGCTCACGTATGATTGTGCAGCTACCCATCCAGGCTGTCACATTGTAAAGTTTGTAGATGATACAGCGGTGGTGGGATGCATCACAAACAATGATGAGTCCAGCTACAGGCAAGAGGTGGAACACCTGGAGAGCTGGTGCAAAGAGAATAACCTTCACATCAATGTGAAGAAGACAAAGGAGATGATTGTGGACTTCAGAAGGAAAAAAACACCTACACCCCCCTGAACATAAGAGGATCTGCGGTGGAAGTGGTCTCCAGCTACAAGTACTTGGGTGTACACATGAATGACAACCTCAGCTGGAGCAACAACACCACCAGCCTGATCAAGAAAGCTCATCAGAGACTCTACTTCCTCAGACGGCTGAG